ACATCTTATCCTAATGAATGAATAATTTAATATCTGAGTATCTTATCCGAATAAATGGATAGTTGAATATCTAGGTATGAGTGTGACTGTCTGTCGGTGAAAAATGATCACACCCACACTCTCATCGCAAATTCTATGAACTAGCAAGAATAAGAGTATCGAGTGAAATGTTTTTAGCTTTGACATAATTATTTCTGAATGCTCCTTCAATATTCTGGTCAACTAATAAATTCTTCTTGTTTGTCATCTATACGTGGTTCAACTACAAAGAACTAACACACAGATTATTTCTAAACACAATAAGTGACCAGTATCTCTTTCACTACTCACATCTTTTCAGATGCATAGAGTGAGATATTACAGACTATAATTTTTCAAAAGAGCAGGCCACTTGTTTACTATCAATTGTTTTCTTGTATTTTATATAATTAAAGAATGTGATTGAATGTATCTGAAGATATAAAAGTATGTCACTAGCCGACGAAGTAATTATCGATTTTGCTTCGAACTGAAAAGGAAAAGCATGATAGAGTTTATATTACCACAATAAAAGAATTTTCAACCTTCTATCTAATTGAGCCAGAAGAGTTTAGACGAGAATCGATTTAGTTTAGGTTAAATCAATAGAAATATATTTTGTGCAAATTAAAAATAGAAAACTTGTTATGCATTAAACTATGGTTACATTCACCGTCGTTTCAGAAATTGGTAAATGCTAGAAAACAAAGTTCTGCACACGCATAGAAATACGTTTATCCACTCAAATTAACAAAAATATTCATAACAACGTATTTAACGGGTAAAAATGGACAACAAATCTTAAAACCTATGTTGAGTTTCGATCACAATAGTAAAGAAACAAGAAAAAAAGTGTCTTTCATAAGCTCACTTTATATTTGTGACTATCTAACGATGAGAGAGGAGCAGTAGGCCAGTAGAGTCCCTATGTTTTCATATTTTTTACAATAACTAAGATTTTTGACGACAGTGAGTCTTAATGAAATGAAAACATTTCAATTATATCAACAGAATTAGTTCTTGGTCGATACTGCACTGAATGTGACAGAATAGTTCACAAATAACTATAGTATTCGGTATAAGTTGTTTTGTTCGATAACGCTTCTTTTTGTGTGGAGAAAAAGGTTTAGTCCTATATGATTAGCATGATAATACGAAATAAAGTCTTTAGGATCTCCCTTCTAACTGACTTATTTGGGAAGCGCTGCATCGTTTGGTCTTAATTTTATCTCTATCCAGCAATGGACACTAGAAATTGAGGATGGCAGTGTTCAGATTTGTTTTTTGGAGCTGAAAGCTATCCTGTCAGCAAAATATTGCTTGTAAAAATATGTATAAGTCGCTTATGAAATAGAAAAGTCTCGAAGAAATGCAGTGCTTACCTTAGAGAAATCGTTGTATAAAAAAGAAGAAGAACTGAATGAAGATACAAATGAATAAAATCAAGTAACAGAAATGCGATAGTTCAAAGCAATGCTTCACGAACAAGATAAGACTGATACACTTGCTATTTATCTTTTTAATGTACACAAGTAAGAAAGCGACGATTGTTTTTACCTTGTTTCTTCATGTTCATACAATCCGATACCTATACAAGCATACACATACTCTTTCCTTGATAATAAATATACAGAAAATCATGATATATAAAATATATTTGCTGTAGAAGCATACGAATTCATGCAACTAACTTCAGATATAAAGCCTTGAAACAATGAAAATAAAGATGCTGCCTATCATAGTCAGATGTCATCGCTGAAATGACATCTGAATGATTCAAAATCAGCCAGTAGAAACATGCTAGATCGTACAAGTTGAGAGTATTCATTGAATAGTTAGAACTAACAGATGACCTCCAGATTGTGTGTCATTGGACTTCACCGAAACGATGTTACCATTCAATTGATTGAAGACACTGTTGAGTTTGTCTCTCATTCTACAGTTCAATCTAGGATTATAAAAGATTCAAATGGCATTTATTTCTGATTTTTGTCATAGACACAGACCAAGAGGATACAGTTTATGCCTCAAAGACATTGAAGTGTTGTCTTAAAAACGAAATTAGTTTCACGAGAAGATTCTATTGTCTTCGAAATATCGATCTAAGTTTTTCTCATTTTATATATCAATGCTCTAGTCTAATTCACTTGTTTTCGATTTTCTCTTTCTACTGTTCAAGGAATGATTAATCATAATGTTTATGGCCCGCTTGATCATTTTCATCGATTGAATGATATGAAAGAGATGTTTTGGAGCAATTTCGAAAGATTTTGAACATTTCTGTAGCATTTACTTCTTGCTCTTAAGGAGTACAATGATAGTTGAGTAGATATGAATGAGGGTCTTCTTTTCAATTATCCGCATCCATATCAACACCTACACTTATCTCTTTCGTATTATATTTCGATTGACATAATTTATTAGAGAATACGTTTTAAATCATTGCATATTTAGCTATAATCTTTCGTTCCGATTGAGACAAATTTTTTTTCTGAGTCCAGATGTCAATCTTAATAACTTCTCTATCTCATCGTCCCGGTTTCATACATCTCTAATCATGGGAAGCGTTCTTGGCACATGACCGCGACTGTATATCAATCCTATCTCGTTATAACATATGAATGACTTGCTTATTACATTTATGTAGAATTAACTAAAAGGATAGTAAAGCAATGTATCCAAAAATCGAATAGAATAAAGCAATCTTCCTGTGATTCGCAATAATCACTACATAATATTTCGCATTTTATCTCACAAGAATTACACTAATATTTTTTTTTCAATGCATCAATTGTATTTCGTTGAAAAGAATAGTCTGAAAGTTAACAACAATCAATATCATGTTTATTTTTCTTTTGTACGCTTCTATATTGTACATGAGCACAACGTAGAAAATAAATAATCATGCATTTCTTTTTGCAAGATTATTTTTTAGTTTTAATTGAAAAATAAAACAAAAACAATAGAAAGATAAACTGAAAATATTCAAGACGAGAAGAAATCTAAATATTAACAAGCTCAAAATTGAATACAGACGGCACGTAAAAGTTTTATTTTTCTTTCTTTCTGTAGCAATATATTAATAGTATCTCGTATCCATTATTTTGATAATTAACTTAAGTCTATTGCATTAACTAATGTTTCGAATATATAACTTAAAAGTAAATGTCGCTCAAAATATTTGAAAATTTCTGTATTACATGCTTCTATAATAAACACATTGTTACAAAAGAAGAAACCGTACCAATTGTTGATTGTGTAGTATGGTCGATGTCATATCGAAGCATTAAAAAAATCCAAATTATTTATTTGTTGACAAAAAAACTTTAATAAGCTTTCATCGAATATAACATATAAATTCCGATAATAACAAAAAGATAAAGGTTGTTTTATATGTTGCAGATGGTTATAAGACTTTTGAAGCAATTCTCAAAATAAAAGGCAACAAGAGTCTCTTGTTTTCAGGTTAAACTGATTTCATTACTTTTTTCAATCATTTGATGTATTGACAAATCGAATATGTCCAATGACCAGAATTTTTTGAAAAAACATACGACGATTTTTGTGGCAATTATTTCGTTTCATGATAATTATTAATAATTATTGTTAGAAAGATCAGATCATCTACTGAGAATGTTTGATTTTGTTAAAATATCAGAATGCAAATAAGAAAGTTGTTTAATAATTTTTCTTCACTTTCGATTTGCCGAGTTCTACAAACTTAAATAAAAGAAAAATCGATTCAAAGAATACAATTCATTTTCAATGATACACTTTAAGCACATAAAGGATTGTCTATATTTCGGAAGAAATCACCCACTCTCATCCTCAGTTATAGCCTCAATAAATAATGTTGGGTGTGGGTCTTCGGCTTGTTCACATCCTCACCTCGATCGCCCTCATTCTAAAAGAACTTGTTCAATTTGTCCTAGTAGACAAGACTAAAAAGTGAGCTTATACTACCTCTAATGAGCATCAAAACACATTTTACGATAATAATCGCTTCCTATTCTCACAGAAGGGCCTCACATTCCCTTGGAAACGTTCTAAGGGTATGGATATGGGTGTGGGTTGTGTATTCTCTTTAGCCAAACCGACACTCACACCCACACCCACTACATAAATATTTTACTAACGAGAATGAAGGTTTGAACAAGTGATTCACACCGATTTTGCACTATGGACTTCGCTCATATGTCATATACCTACTTGACAAGTGTTATCATTATGAAAATTTGCCATGTCATCCATATCTTTCAGTTTTAAAGAAGCAAAAAGCGAAGCTAGTTTTTTCCTTATCAACACTCAAAATATAGATAGTATTGATAGAGTAGACCGCTTGATTACTTATTAAAAAGATCTTTTAAAAAACATAAAAAAAGAGTGCTTCTTGAATAAATGAAAATAAGAAAACACATCCAAAATGACTGCTCGTTTAATTATTATGACTTTCCGTATTGTGATTTAGCAACTAATATCTCATTTGAAAATCCAAGTGTGACAATACTATCCACTTGTTGTCCTTCTTCTTTGATGCCAATATATTGAACCACCATTGACGTAAATCCTTGTGCACCAGATTCTGACACCACATTTCCCTTTTGATTTCAAAAGGCTACTGTTACTTGCTGATATGTCCATCCAATTGTAATCATGTTATATTGTTCTTTTGTTATCTTATAATTTGTTGTAAAATCGAAGTTAAATTGCGCCTTTATAGACAAAATTCCATTTACAAACCTAAATCCTGCTATAGCAATTATACTAGATGATGAACCTTGATATTGTACTAGAATTGTATCTGGATTATTAGCAATGGAGGGCATAACTTGTCCTGGACTACCAACGTACTGCGTTAATTGATCATGTATCCATCCAAATTGAATTTGTTGGTATTGTTGAAATGTTATTCGATCATTTGGTAGAAGGGCATTTGTTCTAGATATATGAGTGGAACTACGAATAGTTGGACTGACAGCCACTCATTCATATCCTGGTTTGGATTGTAATTTTCCATCCCAAAATCCAAGTTGAATATAACCAACACTTTCAACTCCTTTTTGGCCTTCGCCTTGATATAGAACAGTCATTAATGTTACATTTGGCCAAATGTTTGCTTCTTGTATAACATTTCCTCTACTTCCAAGAGTTGATCTTACTTGATCATATGTCCAACCAGTTTGTATTTGATTATAATGTTCTCTTGTGATTATATAATTTGATGTTAGATCAAGTAGTTTTTGGTTCTTTTTCCAAAGAATCTTATTATTAAATGAAAATATCACCGTAGACTCTCTTTCTAATACGTTTGATGATATTGAGCCTTGATATTGAACCATAATATTACCTCGATTAGATGGTGATATTGGTTCTTCTGTAATAATCAATTCTCCAGGAATACCCACAAATTGTGTCACTTGATCACGTGTCCACCCCAATCGAATTTGTTGATATTGTTCAAGCGTTATTGCATTGTTACCAGTAGTTTTTATGAACATAGAAGCAACTCCATTACTGTTGAAATACTGAACAATCCAGAGTATCAGCAGTGAGACGATGAACATCACTTTCACTAAGTAAATGCGTAAGTTAAACGGTTATTTTGACGTTGTTTTTATCACAGCAATTATAGAACAGAGTGAATCGTTTACCTGAGTATTTATATATTTCCATCTACTTCCTTTTTTCACAAACATCAAGTTTCGGCGATCACTTCAGGCTTTTTTTTGCTTGAATAAAATGGCATATTATGACTCATTTGGTACATGTTATTACGAGTGCTCAGATCAAACACATTGCATGATGAAACTTTGCATGAGCCTGACGAAATCTTACTGTTATATTATAATTGTCTTACGAAATTGCAGGGAACTTCGATGCGATCATACATAAACTGATTTGTTAATCTCACATCATCATCTGTGGCAAAACAGCATTTGACAAGTTTTAAAGGAGTATATTGTCAAGTCTGACGTGATCGAACATGATCATACAATATGTTTTCTCCAGCTATGAGTAAGATTTCGTAGGATGTATGACACAATCTATCAGATAATTTATTCAGTCGTTTCTTTCAGTAGGACGAACATTCAGATTTGAATTTTCCTCCGTTCCGACAAGAACTTTCTCAACAATCCAAATTTTGTCCGACGGAAGCACGACTGCTACTCTACTGATGATGTCAGAAGTTATCGTAATCCTTTTCGTGGAAATCATATAGGAAGTCGTAACACGTCGAGTCAGATGTGATCTAGATTTTTTCCAAATTTCTCACTTTCAAACCGTTTCAACAATCACATTTCAATGTTATTTAACCGTTTGATATTCTTATCAGTATAGAACAGCAACATTTTCTGTGACTTCACTATTACTCATTGCTACTATTGCTTACATCAAGAATGATTCAGTTCAATGTTTAAGTAAAACAATACAGTAAAACGAACACATTCGAGTGATTTGATGAATGAATGCATGAATGAATGTATTGAATAGCTGAATGGTGCACAAAATCATCGAATTGAGTTTATCGAGTTAGTCAAACGAAGTATTTAGTCGAATGATTAAATTGAAGACTAGTTGAGTATGAGAGTTTTACTATAAGGGAGCGTGTGCGACGTGAATGGGAATGAACAGTACACTTACACTTAACCTATACCCCACATCCACACTTGCAACAAAGTTCGTTTGTTATGATCTTTACATGATTATGTAATCCATTGGCGGTACTTTATTTTGATTTAAAAATTATACTGAGTTAAACTTTTCACTTAAAGTATTATCTTTTTCGAAACGCCTATGTATTGCGCTCACTGACTGATAGCATTAGGAACAGAAAATAGTCTGTTATGTATTTTTCTTTGTTTTCTTCACTATCCAAAACATGCGAGCAACAGTATTTTGACGAAGCATGAATCGACGCATCTGGAAAAGATGAATCGAACAGTGTATTTTTCTCTGTGAACGGAGCATGTTTGCCGTATCAAATCATCTTCTTTAAAAATCTCCAGGTAAATATACTTGAATAGTAGAAGAATGTGAAACAAGCGCAAGAAGAAAAAAAAATATAAGTAGCTCATCTGCTGTTGATTATCATTAGCCAACAGGTAATTTGTTTTTTTTCAATAGATATATGTCACAGATGTCATGGGAATGCCATAGTTGAGATTAGAATGCGCAACATAATTAAAAAAAACTAAAATCTTTTCTCGAGGTCTTTTTTACTCTCGTATTGGAGAGTCCACAGTTGGAAATTTACCTAGAATATTATGCATTATATCCTATCGATTATAGTCTTTAGCCAAAAAAATTTAACTTTCAATTTCATTAGCGCTTACAAGAATCTACTACACTTTAATATCATAATTATAAAACAAATATGTAATGCAATATACTCTTGTTTCTGAAAACTACTCATTCCACACTCCTGCTCGTCTAAAAAAAGAGTATTAGAATTTTTTTAATTTCATGAATCATTCAATATCCCATGTCGGCGTTATTAGAAAAATTACAATAATATTAATAATAAATCCATGCACGTCTATCTTATCAGGACATTGATCCGGCAAAGATTTATTTGTCTACAGTTACTCTTCGACAGCGTCTATTCACAGTATATATATATATATATATGAAATACTCTGTTATTTTCATATATACAACGCATCTACAAGCATAAATGAATAACAGTAGTAACAACAACAATTTCCCTCCTGGTGGTAGTGGCGGAATGGGACCTCCGTCGGACTTTGGTTCAGTTCTGGTTACATCTATCGAAAGAAACTTGGCTTTCTACGGTTACATTTGTCTGTTCCTCTTTGACTTCTTCGGTCACACAACAAGTGTAACCATCTTTCTTCGTCGAACCCTTCGTACTGTTTCGACAAGTTGTCTGTTCGTATGTATGACTGCCTCCGATACAATCTATTTGTTTATGTGTATCTATGATTTTATCTTTCTTGGCTTTGATGTTCCCACAACAAATATCAATCTTATGAATGCATTGTGTCGTTTTCGTTCATTTATCCAATATTTTTCGATGTGTTGTTCAGCTTGGCTCCTGTTATCAATTACAATCGATCGTTGGCTTCGTGTTCAATTTCCTTTTCGAGTCAAAGAATTGTGTACGACAAAAAGAGTACTTATTGGTGCATTCATTATCCTCATATTTTCAATTGCACTCAATTCCCATTTACTGCTACCATCACTAGGCATTGTACCTGGTGCTATTGCATGTGCTCCTGATCCTATGTCAAATTCTACCTATCAATACTTCTACACAGAAGTATGTTTCTTTGTATGAAATTTTCTTAATTAACAACACATTCATTAATTCTTTTTAGATTTGGCCTATTCTAATAACCACTCTTCAAATTGTCTTACCCACAACACTTCTTCTCATATTCAGTATTAAAATGTTCATTGGGCTTCATCATCAACAACAAAAAAAAACAACAATTGAAACAAGGTCGTTGTCGTACATTTCTTGATCGACAAATGTTAATAATTATGCTCACTAGTATCTTTCTCTTCTTTATCACACAAATCCCATTAAGTCTCTTCACTCTTCTTATCTTTTCTGTTCTTCGCAATGAACTTGGACTACAACAATTACTTCAGCTTAATACTATTGTCACTTTCGTTGCTTCAATCAATTATGCTGTAAGTTGAATATTTATTTCTGAAACTCCTACACAGTGAACAATTATGATAATCATGATGTAGATATGAAAAATTTTCCTTAGAGAAAATATTTTTTTACTTTATGGGCTAAAATTTCAGCGGAAATTTTTTCACTCAAAGTTTTAGTGTCATAGGGTGCACCAAATCCACAAAACGAGCAGATTTTATTTTATTTTCATTTTTAAATTGCTGGATAGAGTTTGATGAGCTCATCACGAATATATGAGTTCTAATTTCTTTTAGGCAATCTTTTGATTAAGAAAATTTGAAAGATCTCGAAAGAGTTAAAAAGTGAAAAAATTCAGTTAGTTCGGAATAAAATCCAATATTTTTTTTCTACCAAGATATACAATGTAGTGTATTATCTAATTCGAACTGCTGAAAGACAAGTTTCACAAAGATATCTTTTTTTGTACAATGTTGCATAAAGACATACCGTAGTAGAAGCGGTCGATACAGCTGTACTAGTCAAACCTTTCAATTAAAAGTCAATGAAATACACTTCTGATACTTCGTTTTTGTTGAAAATGTTTGCACAACACAAATAAAGAATATGAAATTTTCTTCTGAACAGACTCAATTTTTTCAGGATTTAGATCTTTCGACTTTTTTCAAATTTTCTCACTCAAAAGATTGCTCAAAAAAATGTTAAAAACTATATATCCGTGATCAGATCATCACACCCTATCAAGCAATGTACAAATTCAACTAGAATAAAATCTTCTTGATTTTTACGTTTGGTACAGATCGATAGGCTGATTCAGAATACCACCATTATTTCTCTTGGAAATGTTCATGAGTAGTATAAAAGAGGATTTTGCCTGACAAAACCAACATTTTAAAACAATATGATGGATAATTTTGGAATAGTTATATTATTTATATACTGAGGATATGTGACATATGGAATAATATACTGACAAATTGTTAGCCAGAGTGAAGTTCGAAGTATTGGCCACTTGTTACACAGATAATAACTTATCTCAGAAAAAATATATTTCTCCAAGAATAAAGATCAAAAAACAATCATTGCCTGACTAATTGATACAAGAATAGATGTAGACTCATCATTTTTCTGTATTGTTTTTACTTCTTAGCGTCGTTTCATTCTTTTTAGAACAAGGAAGAAAACTGTTACTAATAAATATGATTATATTTTTCCCTATTTAAACTGAAAACAAAAGGTCATTTCTAATTTTTGATCTTCTTTTTACATTGGTATCCTTCCACCAGCCTCCTATGCTCTCTGTTGGCGGAGAGCTCATTATGAATGATCTCTTATCATAGTAAATTTTTTTAGGCTTCATTCTATATTCACTGCTTATCAAGTCGATTATTTCGAGAAGAATTTTTCAATGTCATACATTGTAGACAACATCGATGTGTAGGTGTTATGACACAAATGTTGGACCTTGAGGCATCCCAAACACAAGGTCAATTACACCATATCAAAGGAAGGAAGTCCACGAAAGCATAGGTAGACATTCTATTTTCTATGAAATTCTTTATTTAATTATTCAATAAAATTGTAAAACTATTGTCATTATTTTTCTATTAAATTCTAAATTGATCAATATTTATCCATTGTCTCTGTGCATCATCGAACAGCGTTTCATTCGGTTTGACTTCCCAATGATCTGAATACGTGAGACAATATAAAAGGAAGAGATCGAGAGAAAAACAGTGCATAGTATGAACTACCATCGATCACTAATATTGTCAATCTGATCATATTGATAAAATTCGTAGTCAATCATATGATAATAAGGTTTTGGCAATGACACGATGATCGGCAAATTTCAGTTCTGTGAATGCTGTTTATGTTTTGCAATCAGATATTGTCAACGCATTTGGCAAAATCATTGATAATATGGTGAGCGTTTTTGTTTGCCGATTACAATGCAATTCATCGAATTGCTCCTCGTTCATGGCTAAATGAGAAGCGGGTGACAATTTGAAAAAAAAAACTGATCTCATTTGAATTCCATATCTTGCTTCATGTAATGAGAAACACTTTGTGAATAACAAATGCTCTAATTCCTCATCTACAAAAAGTACAGATTGATCTTATGATGACTTCGAATTTCATGTTCAATACGAACAAGTGTCTTTGAACACTGAGGAGTGATGAATAGCTCTTTAATTTGAAAAGATAGATCTGAACTGAAATCATCGTTTATCTTAATTGAAAAGTTAAAAGTAAAATATTGAATGTGCATTGGATGAACTAAAGTTCTCATCAAAGACTCTTGTAGACTTTCTTTGTCGATGAAATATTCTTGAAAACGACAATCCTGCATCATTTGATTTTTGGTCTATCATATGTTTCCACAACAAGTTCATAAAGAAAAAGAAATTGAGTGATGAGAAAAAAATGTCTGTACTACGTAGAACGGATGTTTTTGTAATCTCTTCATTTGTGAATGAAGATTTCACAGATATTTTGAACCGTCTATATTTCAAGATCACTTAACCATCTCAATAATCAGGGATGAGAATAAGTGCAAATTCAACAGAACGAAACATTATAAGATTCTCTTCAACAGCGAATAGACTTGTTTGTCACATCATATTTATTTTTCTGAACTATATTTTCTACATCAAAATACAAATCACAGAAGTCGATGAATGATTATCAGGCGTCTGAGGAATATATTGCTGAATTTCATCCAGAAAACAAAGATAAGTACTTAAAGTCAATGGTTTCTGTTGGCTATCGGCCGATATTTCATCTTTTAATTTTTGAAACATTGATTCTCGATTCGTAATGCACATTGTATACACTTGATGGAGTAGACGCCCATTCATAGTGGCAAATATCGGAAGAAGACTTTCGAGATTTTTGTTGCGAAGAAACAATTTGACATGATCTTTTGCCCATTGATCGATACAATGTGGTAAATCACTTCGAATATAAAGAAAACAGTGAACAAATTTTTAATATCTGCAAATGAAAATCATGACTATACATTGAAGATTTACAGATTTTCATTGAATTTATAAAGAAAAAAAAAAGTAGCTTAGACTTATCCTGTTACTTTCTGTCTGACAATTAGCATCATAGGTTACGTACTTCGTTATTGTTGGTTGTTCATCTGACTGATCTGTTATCGTTTCAATTGTTCTTTCAGGTTCTTTTGCTGTCGTAGGCGACTCACATCGTTGTTGTTCTTGAGTGCTGATTGAAAGATTCATGTTCAGCCTATATCGATCGATTTCATTTTTCAATTTCAGATAGGCTTGATCGAAACCAAGTTTAGGAAAATCCACGTAAATTTTTCCACTGACCATAATACCTAACCGTCCATCGGGTCGATAGTTTTGTTTCATTACAATCGGTATCAAGTGACATTGACGTTCATAAGCATATTGAGCTTCAGATTGACAGTAAGCACTTTGTTTATAGGCATCCGACATGCACACGAATACAAATTCAGCGTTTTCGATAGCATCAGCCATGGCAACCATGGTCGATCCATGCATTTGATCTCTATCAATCCATATACGAAAATTATCTTTTACTAGACGATCATAAATTCGATGACACAGATCTTTGTCACGATGAGAATAGCTCAACATGATGTCGTATTTATAATTGCGAACATCTTTTGTAATCGGAATGGTGACTAACTTGGCAGTTGCTATTTCTTCTTTTTCTAATTTCCAAAGCAAACCTTCGGCAGCTCGCCGTAAACCTTGTTCGGATGATGAATTGATGAGTGTATGAAGATGTGAGATGAATTGTGAATTTTCCTTGAGTAATATTGCTGCTTGATCATGAAAAGTCAGTGCAAGAAGAATTTCGAGTGTTGGTTGTTGTTCATGTACAGGATCGAATTTTGTTTCTGTTGCACATCGAAGGAGATGTGGCAATATGCCTTGTTTAGTCAATTCTTCTTTGATTTGATCATGTTGAACCAAACCTAGACAAGAAATTCATTATAATCGAATGCAAAAGAATGTTTTCTTGTGGATTCAGACAGAAAAATGTACTTACACTTGAGGCAACGCAGCAGATTTCGAAGTCGCCGGATTTTTCTCGTATTATCAATAACATCGGTGAGAAATGTGATAAAGACTTTTGAAATCTTGCCTGGATTTGCTAACATCTTAATATCTTGTTCGGTCATAATTGAAGCTAGAATACGATAAGCATTAAATTGTGCTTCTTCATTGTCAATATCAATCAATCGTAATAATATTGAAGATAATTGTTGATTTTTAATATAATCAAGTAGACTCTGTTCTAATGTCAACGCATATAAATGAAACATACAAATACCGATCAAATCAATAGTTGATTCATCAATTGCATTGATATTATTTGATAATGTGGATAAAATGAGAATATAACAATCAATAATTTTGCAACAATCGTCGTATGTATCTTTACCGATAATTTTCTCATTATGCAAACCAAAATCGAATATAATACCACCGAGTTTATCAAAAGAACTTTTGGTGATTCTATTCCATTGTCGAAAAGACGATGCATGTTGTTGTAACCATTGCGTGAAAGGTTTCAACAAAATTGTGCGAATAATAGAAAATATCTCATGACGACGATTACCTTCATAGCAAACAATATAATCGGTACATGTGTTCAACAATAATTCTTGTGCATCGTTGAGTTCAATTAGTTCAGTTACTTGTTTAAATATGTTGACAAAAAAATGGCGAACATACACATTGAACTGTGGCATTCAAAAGCGACTCGGATACGGGATTATTTTGAATATTGAGTCGTCGTCTAGAAAGATGATTAATAGCTTTGATCATGGAATCAATAGTCTTTATCTGAGCATCTTGTAGATATTTTCCATTTGTTGCAATCTCAACAAGGCATCCGCTGAGCTCGTCGATAAGAGGCTGATGAATGAGAAGCTGTTTGAATGAGCTAACGTTGGTTTCAGTTATATGATCACTCATAAGTGCGAATAAAATTGATACTCGAGAGAAAACTATCCGAGACATTGGCTCGATTGATTGACCGCTTCGCCATTGACGCAAAATGTTGAGATAACAATCCCGAATAGTTGAAAATAGTGGATGACCAACGATAACAGATTCGCTGTAAAGATTGGTATCATCAATCGTAATGGATGTCAGTATTTGTTGAATTGCATTAATATTGTTCGGAAATTTAAAATTTATCAATTCAGAAACAATAATGTCAAAACATTTTTTGAGTTGTTCAGTAGTCAGTGAGGTAGCTTGGTTCTTTAGCAACGCACATTGCTGGTCAATAATAATTGATACATTCGTCATATCAGGAATTAATTTTGTCTCAATTCAGTCTTTTTTCGATAAGTTGAGAAAGGTATGTAGACAATGTAAACAGTGTGTTGTCAGTGTCGAACGAAATGAATAGAAAAAGAAGGAGAGAACGTTTAAAAAGCTGCTTTCATCAACACAGTACCATGATGATTGGAATTGAAGAAAAAAAAAAGTTACTGTCGTTGCTGCAGCTGTTTTTTAAATGAGAACAACATTTTGTTATTTCTGTTGGCATGCAACGGAGCGATGCACAGGATATTGCAAAGTTTTGACATTTCGGTTGATGATATGTCTCTTGTTCTCATATTATACAAGATCAAACTTTAGAAAGGTTAGCTGATGCCAACAATAAATTTATTTCTACTTATTGCGTAAAAAGATTCGTGCCTTCCTCACCTCATCGAATAAAATCAGAATTTCATTACCTGAGTGGCACCTCATACATCATGATGCTCGAAGTGTGATTTCTAAACAAGCACTCTGCCAAAGTACGAAATGAAGAATGCGTTCTTTATGTCTCACTACCAAAATTCAGCCTAAACAATTGAAAAGAATGTGGATATGACTGTGGGTAAGAAGAAGATCTAATATATTTGATCTGACAATGGGAAGTCATCAAAAGATTTAAAAAAGGAAGTTGATCTTGAATCAGCATGAGACAGAGGAATTGATACTGCAAAACGTAATTTTCAGCACTTATATGAAGAATTTCGAATGTTGAAGCATTTTTTCTCATATTTAGATTATGAATAATATCAATCACGTGATGTTTCATGAATCAGGATGTGCGGCACTAAGATTTTTAGTGCCGATTTGAGTAGCTATTGAGATCTTCTTTTGAAAAATTTATTGGATTGATTTAAACGAGCAAATTCAAGTGAACTTATTTATCAATAGAATACAATACATTCTAACTTTATTAAAAGAGAATCTTACTTCTCAAAACTCAGCCTTCATCCTCATTCTTGGCTAGATACCTAGCTCAAGCCTTGCTTTTTTCATTTGATGATAACATAAACGTTGGGATTTATAGAAAAATACCAAAAAAATAAGTTTGGAATTTTAAGCACTGTTTTTGTATAGGACATGTATCAGTCAATAGAGCCTTAAATTATGATCTACAGGACAGGACTTTGAATCAAGAATTCAAACAAATGAATGCTCGGGAAAATAAAGCTAGATGAAGTAGTAATCAATGCAAGGAGTCAACATGATATTTTTATACTTTAAAGTACCTTAAAAGCATCTAGCAGTTTAAAGTAATATGAACTATCGTGTTTCTCCTTAGGTAAATACCTCATGGTTATATGCAGTTCAATATATGTAGTAGAACTAAATTTAACTTGATCATCTTTGACTTATATATCTACTATAGATGGTATAAATATGAAACCTTATTGACCCTGTAGAGAGAAGACATCGAGAAAATTATTTGTTACATTATGTTGCTTCTCCTTCAACTCTCAAAATCAACTTTAAATATAATCAATATAGAACAAACAAGATTTTCTTTTTAATTTTAAAACAATTTCTTTACATAGTGATTGTAGTTGTATTGTGCTTGTTATTTGTTGCATCATAGCTTGAGTCAAGACTGCTATCTATTTGTAAACTAGTTGCTCGTTGTTTTTGTATTTAGATTTTAAATTAATACAAAATGGAACTTGACAGTGTTGATCCATGCAAATTTTATCATGATACCAACAAACAAATATAAATTGTTTGCATACATTACATTGATTATTTGGTCCTATACATTCTTTAGTATGTTGTATAATACGCTTATAACGAAAGCAATTACACTTATCACATGTAGAATTTCGACAATTACCAGAATGTGATAATGCTTCAATACAATGTTGCATTGATCGTTGACGTTGTGATTGTGAACTAGAAATAAAATTATCATTTGAGTTTGAGGAATTTCGATCACAATCTTCAACACTATTGATGGAACAGAACGCTTCATTCTATGTTCATGTGTTGGTTCAATATTATAACATGTTTCACATAAATTAAAATCTTCACATACTGTACAATGATTAAGAATATCACAATGTTGTCGACATGTATTACAATTAGATTTAAATTTATCTTTTGTTGATATATGTAATTCATATAATAATGCCATTGTAGAAAATTTTGCACGACGTAAAGATAAAAATTCATGATGTCGATCATGAGCAAAATATAAAAATGCATTTCGTGTATCCATTAGATCACACTGAATAAGAGTATCGGTATCATTTATAGTTGCGTATGATGCAAACGGTTTACGAAGACGAATAACAAAGAATGCCTAAAAAACCTATAGATTGACAACAGCTAAAGAATTTTATAAGTGCAAATTGTCTTAATATGAAACTTCACGACCCAGTGGTGAATCTAAGATTTTGGAAGTGGAGAATGGCCATGATCACAAAATGTGTTTTGAAGTCCATTAGAGATCATATTGGCTCATTTTCTGCTGAGAAAAAATGAAAAATATTTCGGAAGCGAGGGACGATTCGCTCCTCCCAGTGCTTGTTCTCAAAGTTCATCATCCGTGTGACTTTCAACTAAATTGTCTAAGGCTTATTTTTGTCCATAAATTTCATACCTATGGAAGAATGACAGGTTAATAAAAGTGCTTAAATTCACAAAAAAATCTTGTAAGTCTAATAAAATTTGATTAATCGATTGGCATTACTTCATTGTCTCGACACATCACTCAAAATTGCTATTTAAACGTCTCAATGATTTAAATATTGAAGAGTCGTACGATATCTGTTCAAACTTTGTTAAAAAGTCTCGTTCATTCGATCGAATGTTCAATCGTTTTTCATTTGAAATTATTTGCTGAATGATCGAATTTCGTTGACACACAGATGTTATAAGTGAATCAACATAGCTCAGCAAGGATATGTTTGTTTCAGTTGAAAATTTGGAGTGTTCCGAATAACCATGATGTCTATCATCTATGGGCAAAACTTCAGCTCGAAACTCGATCACTCAGATTCTCAGTGATTCTGTGGTCATAGGACAAAAAAAACGAGCAAAACATCCATAACTCAACAAGCACAGAAGAGCATACAA